TTTGGGATGAGCACTGGGTGTTGTATGGAAACCAATTTGACAATAAATTTCATATAAAAAAAATAAAAAATAAAATAAAATAAAATAAAATCTAAAAAAAAAAAAAAAAAAAATCCTTTTTTTTTTTTTTTTAGCACATTTGTTTTGAGATTGGGTGCAGACTGATTTCCATCCATCCACGCTTCATTCCTGCCAATAAATGTGGTCTTGCTTCACAGTGTGATGGAGGTATGCCTTCGCCTGCCCTGGGTCTGCCAGTAGAGTGTGTGTCTGGGGAGAACCCTTGTATCCTTTCCTTTTCCCCTTTTGCCACTCAATTTCACTCTTCATGCTCTTTTCTAAAGACCTCAAGCACTCTTGAGGCCTTCCTGATCCCCCCACACCCACTCTAGGGATTTCCTAATCTGTCTCTTAAACTCCTTCCTCTCCCCAGAACCCACATCAGAATATCCAAATGTCTACTGAACATACCCGCCTCAAACTCAGCAAACCAAACACTGAGAGAGTTTTGTACTCTACAAACCAGCTTTTTGTCCTTTTTAAAAAATAATCGTTAATGTGATCTCCAGCTGTGTATTTAAGCAGACAAACTGTATTTAACTTGAACTCACAGGTCATTTCTTCCCCAAGGTGCCTATAAGATATTCTCATCATTTGTTCATTGTCTTGAAGCAAAAGCAATACATTGTGAGCCTCAAAAATGCACTCCCCTACTGAGAAGAGGCAACTTATTTAAAGAAGTGTCCCAAATAATCTATGTAGATACCCCATCTCTTACTCCAACTATGGCTTGCATGTAGTGACTCACTTCCCAAAGAGTAGAGTATAGGAATGGAAAAAAATAATAATCTTACGTATTAGAAGCCTTGCAAACACCTTAATCAAGTGATGAAGGTTAACATCATCAGTGATGCCAGGTAGATATCAGGTACCTCCTGGTAAGATGTGATGAGTAAGGCACTTCACCTCTGTGCTTCACCCCAAAGCCTGTATCTCCAGTCTAACCATGAGAAAGCATGTGGCAAACCCAGACTGTGAGACATTCTACAAATACCTGACCTGCACGCTTCAAAACTGTCAAGATTATTCGAAAACAAACAAATAAACACATAAACAAAAAGACTTGAGAAACCATCCCAGATCAGAGGAGACTAAGGAGACATGATAACTAATGTGATGTGGGATGCTGGACTAGATCCTGGAACAGAAAGGACACTAATGGGAAAGCTGGTGAAATCTGATAAAATCTGGAGTTTCCGTAATGATGACGTTGCCTTTCTAGTTATGACAAATGCACCATGGTAATCAAGAAGCTAATATTTGAGGAAACTGAAACTGGTTAAACAAGGAATTCTCTGAACTATATGTGCAAGTTTTCTGTTAAGTCTACAATTATTCCAAAGTTAAGTTTTATTGAAAAAAAATCACTTCCCCATATACTATACCCTGTGTAAAGGCCAGCAGCTCAAGCATGTCTATCTGGATGTAAATGCTACCTCGTTAGTTAGATACCACGTAGAACTGAGCAATACAAGCAACATAATTTATTTCTTACTTTATATTGATGATAATGGTTTGTGGAAGAGAATGCCAACTGCCTGCGTATCCATCCTTCACTAACAGAACCCACGTTGGTGCTCAGCTGAATGGCTGCATTTACAATCTCCTTTGTAGCCTCAAGTGACCCTATGGCTAAGTTCTGACCAATGCATTGGAAACAGAAGTAGATGGCGTTTCCGGGGAGTCTCCTTCAACGGGGTGGAAAAAGCTCCCTTCCTCTCTCCTGCGGCTGGCATGAGAATGGGGAGACCCTAAGGTGGTCTCCCAAGGCTGACGGACCCACAAGAGAACAGGAGTCTGAGTCTTTGATGAAGTCTGGGAGGTGTCACACCCAATTCTGACTCGTCCACATGCACGTCGTTCTTTAAAAGTGGGAACAATTCAAAAAAGTATATAGGCGCATACAGAAGGCAATAAACATGAGTTGCAATTCCACCACCCAGAAATAGATTGTTTGGGGCCTATCCAGCATCACTTATTGATTAAAAAAAAATTTTTTTTAGCGTTTATTCACTTTTGAGAGAGAGACACAGAGCACGAGTGGGGGAGGGGCAGAGAGAGAGGAAGACACAGAGTCTGAAGCAGGTTCTGAGGTGTCAGCACAGAGCCTTGACGTGGGGCTCGAACCCACCAACCACAAGATCGTGACCTGAACTGAAGTCTCCTAACCCAGGTGCCTCTATCTAGTATCATTTATGAGATAAACGTATATTAGATTTTAAAAACCTCTTAGGGGGTGCCTGGGTGGCTCAGTCAGTTAAGTATCTGACTCTCCATTTTGGCTCAGGTCATGATCTCATGGTTCTGAAATCCAAGCCCCGAGTCGGGCTCTGCACTGACAGCACAGAGCCTGCTTGGGGTTCCCTCCTCCCTTTCTTTCCCTGCCCCTACCCCACTTGCTCTCCCTCTCAAAAAAAATAAATACACTTAAAAATTTTTTTTAAAAATTAAAAGCTCTTAGGATTCTACATAGTGAGCTCTTTTTTAAAAGTTTGTTTATTTATTTTTTTAGTAATCTCTACACTCAGTGTGGGCTCGAACTCACAACCCTGAGATCGAGAGTCACGTGCTCTTCTGACTGAGTCAGCCAGGTGCCCCTCTATCTTATTTTTATAATGGTTTGTTTGGGGTTTTTTTAGTGTTTGTTTATCTTTGAGACAGAGAGAGACAGAGTATGAGCAGGGGAGGGGCAGAGAGAGAGGGAGACAGTATCTGAAGCAGGCTCCAGGCTCTGAGCTGCCAGCACAGAGCCCAGCTTAGTGCTTGAACTCACGAACTGCGAGATCATGACCTGAGCTGAAGTCAGACGCTTAACCAACTGAGTCACCCAGGTGCCCCGCCCTTCTATCTTACTTTTAAAAACAATATTGTATCACGGGAATTTTCTATATATTTATTTTCTTAAATATTGTCTCGATGTTTGTACAATATGCATTATGGTGATGAACGACTATGAGGAGTACGACTTTGGTGCTACACAGACTTGTGTTCAAGTCTCACTTGCGCTGTTGACTGTGTAACCTCAAGCAAGTTGTGCCCTCTCTCTATAAAATGGAGATAAAGAGGACTTACCTTTGAGAATTATCAAGAGGATGAAATGAATTAATGCATGCAAAATCACCAGCACAGGGTCTGGATCTTAGTAAGTTCTTAATAAAAATAAACTATGGTGATTATTATCATTCTCTAACCAGTTCCCTCTTCTTGGACAGTTAACCTGTCAGGATCTAATTAAGAAGTAGAAACTGCACGGGAGAACTTAAAACAGAAGGAATTTAATGCAGGGAATTGGCTACGCTGCATTAGGTGATAGGAACACTGAGAAATCAAACAGGAAATTAACCCAAAGATTAGCAACAGCAAGAAGGCACTACCACTGTTCAGTGAAAGGAGAGAGGGGAATGGCAGTGGAAGCGGAGCCTAAGGGCAGGGTCACAAGGTGAAGCCAGAATCGTGGTGGATCTTTCTTTTTTTTTATTTTTTTTCAACGTTTATTTATTTTTGGGACAGAGAGAGACAGAGCATGAACAGGGGAGGGGCAGAGAGAGAGGGAGACACAGAATCGGAAATAGGCTCCAGGCTCTGAGCCATCAGCCCAGAGCCTGACGCGGGGCTTGAACTCCCGGACCGCGAGATCGTGACCTGGCTGAAGTCGGACGCTTAACCGACTGCGCCACCCAGGCGCCCCATGGTGGATCTTTCCTATGGGAGCCACAACCATGGAGGAAGTTCAGCTACTTCTGGAGATGCCATTAGAGGTGAAGAAGGGTAGGGAGAAAGACTCTGGATTCTCCCTTTCTCCCACCTCATATCTCTTTCCAGACCCTCTCATTGGCCAGACCCATCTAGGGGTCTGGGAAACAGAGTCTTCAGCGATCAGTTTTGGGGTACAGAGCAGAGCAGGGGAAGGGGATCTGGATGGAATGGATCCAATGGAAGCAGATCAAGGACTAGCACAGTCTACCCCTTTTACTATGCAGTATCCATTCTCACCGACCCCTCCCCCCCCCCCACCATATCTCACAACTTCATATTTGAAACGCCTATCTCCTACACTTGCTTTCTCCTTCCCTCCAATGAGAGGACTTGCAAATCCCACTAGTCATCATAGTCACGTTGGGTCTAAGATCTCTGGGAGCATTTCAGTCCTCCCCATTTAGTTTGGATGTGGCTTGTCATGGTCTAGTGAATTCATTGTGAAACTAAGCACCAACAACCTTCCTCATATAAAATACCAAGGGAAGAGGAATGGGGGGAAAGAGATATCAATGGTTAATACAAACCAAAAAGTATGTACTGATCTTTCAGTTCTCATTTCTATACCTGGTCACAAGGCCATCACCGATCACATACCATTTTATCATTGATATTTTATTCCACCACCCATTCCATCTTACCCTGGCCCTCAGTGCCTTCGCTAGTTGTGATGATTTACTTCGTGAAAAATACCTTCACACGTGAATGACCTGAGTCCTTGTTATTCCGTGGCTTTATTGGGTAACTTCAGTCTTTAATTGGCCTTTAGTATTGGACATGCAATTATTATTCTGTAACTGTTTCTCTATTCTAAGTGGCACCCCAGTGACGCCCCTTGGTTGCAGATATGATCCTTCCTACACCAGATGTGTAGTGGAAAAATTATTTTCCCTTCACAATTGGTACCAATCACCCCACACAGTGCAGTTCTCCTTTCTCAGCCTGTCAATTCAACTCAACTTCAAGTTTATGGAACCATTATGGAATCTCCTGAAGGGAAAATACTTTTCTTGAGGGCCTAGATCAGCAGAACCCAAGCAGAACCCAAGGTTTGGGAACGGGAAACAAGAGATCTTCAGGTCTAAAGTGAGAGGGGCCACTCCCAATTTTACATCTCAGTTCCCAGACCCTTTAGGGCAGCATTTTAACCTTGCAGGTGCTGTCTCTGAGTAGACACCAAAAAAATAGTCTTAAGCAAGTGATTCTCTGTTTAACAGGGCACCTGCTTCTGGGTGATGGCCTGTGTGATCAAACCAGTGAATTTCATCGACAAGAGCCCATTGATGCATTTCTACTGCTATGAAGTGAGTACTTCGGTAAAAAAATAAGTGTATGGGATTTAATGATGATAAATAAGATTTTCTCTAACTCCACAGATGACATACTGGCAAAACCCTGGTGGGCAGGGAAGACAAATGGATACAGCAGAACAAGAGTTTATCCTATTTAGGACAGATGGATGCATCTCCATCTTGGAGTTGGTTTTCTGTGGAACCAAACACGCAGTCAAGCGTTCAGACTCTATGAAGTCCTTGAGGCATGCCACGGTCTTCTTCTCAAAGGAAGGCTAGTTACTAGCTCAAAAAGACACAGCTTTGCTTGCTTCAAAACTCTATGAGATTATGCTGTGATTTTCTTACTGGGACTTTCTTGTTCCATCAAACTTTGAATACCATTGAACCTGTTGGGTCACAGGCCAGAGCCACAGCCTGGACCCACTATAGAATCTGCTCTTACTCTGAGCCCCACTTAAAACTCACCGTCTTACAGATCACTTGGCAGATGGGCTGGAGCATCACACCTAAATATGAAATATATACCCTTTGAGATCTAACGTTCGGGAATGGTACAGGTAGTTCAGTAAAATACAATAATTTTATAAATACTTTGCTTTGTCCACCATATGTCAGTCACTCTGAGAGGGGCAGGAAAAAAGCGAAAAGTGGTTCACCCTTTGAAGAATTTCATGTAGTCAGTCGCACAGCAATAGGAACCATGTGGACAGCGCCACGCTACATTTAGGTGTGCAGGGTTATGAGCATCACTCAAGGAGAAGGCAATCATTCCTGCCCTGGCAGGCTGAATAGGAGGAAGAGGCAATATCTGGTCATATTAAACTGAGCTGATCAGCTCAGTGAACAACAAAATATTTTATTTGGGCCAAATATGAAAGGTGTTTAGATATTTCATGAGTCTGATATTTAAGCTGTTCTTAAGTATGTAATATACCTAACAGATAAATTTGGTTTCCGGATGTTGATCCTAAAAAATGCAACAGGATGGTTGGGTGGCGCTTGGGTGGTTCAGTTGGTCGGGCGTCCAACTTCTGCTTGGGTCACAATCTCACAGTTCCTGAGTTCGAGCCCCGCATGGGGCTCTGTGCTCACAGCTCAGAGCCTGGAGCCTGCTTCAGATTCTGTGTCTCCCTCTCTCTCTGCCCCATCCCCACTCATGCTCTGTCTCTCTCTGTCTTAAAAAAAGTAAATAAAACATTTTTAAAAAATTAAAAAATTGCAACAGAATGTATTTCCATTTCGCCTTTATAAAAAGGGAGAATTTAAAATTAATTCAGGCAATTTCTGATTGCTCTTCAAATCAGCAATATAATCTTCACCGTTACCACTTTCTGCTCATGGCCTGGCACTGAATCATACACTTAATACAAATATACACTTAATTATAAATCATATGCTAAATGTGTGTTCTATTATTGGACATAATATTGGCACCAAATTTTGAGAGTTGAATACAGCCATTCTTTTGTCTCATAATGATAAATCAGATGCAAGGTACTCAGAACACCCTAGCATTAATTCTCATTCACTATTTCTTTTTTTTTTAATTTTTAAAAAATGTTTATTTATTTTTGGGACAGAGAGAGAGACAGAAAATGAACAGAGGAGGTTCAGAGAGGAGGGAGACACAGAATCCGAAGCAGGCTCCAGACTCTGAGCTGTCAGCACAGAGCCCGATGTGGGGCCGAACTCACGGACCATGAGATCATGACCTGAGCCGAAGTTGGACACTTACCCGACTGAGCCACCCAGGCGCCCCTCTCATTCACTATTTCTACTCTGTGTGTGTGTGTGTGTGTGTGCGTGTGTGTGTGTGTGTGTGTAAGACTAGGAAGTCATGGAAATACATCAGGAAATGTTCAGCAACTTGAATCAACAATCTGTATATGACATCTTGTATAAACTGATGTCAAATGTGATTAAGATTGAATAATTTATATTTTCCTATTGATAGCAAAAATATTTTGAGCTTTGTTTATAAGAAATGAATTTCTCTGATGTCTCTTTTCTAGGGGCCCCTGGGTGTCTTAGTCGGTTAAGCGTTCAACTCTTGATTTCGGCTCAGGTCACGATCTCATGGTTTCGTGGGTTTGAGCTCTGAGTTGGGCTCAGCACTGGCAGCTCAGAGCCTGCTCAGAGAGAGATTCTCTCTCTCTCCACCTCTCTGCCCCTCCCCGACTTACACTCTCTCTGTCTCTCTCAAAATAAATGAATAAACTTAAAAAAAAAAAAAGGTTTAAAAACATAAAAAATACAAAAACAAACTAACACATACACAGGTATTTAAATGTCTTGCCTTATCCTGTGATAGCTAATATCTTAAGGTTTAATGTATACTTGAGGTGATGTTGATAGTTAATAACAGTGTGCGTAAATAATACATCTCTCATAGTCTTCCTGATAAGTTCAAACCTTTTTGGCTAACTTTTTGTCAGACCTGATCCTTTAACGGTTGCTGTTTTTTCAGCCTTGTGGGTTGACGAGCGATATATAAGGTTTTGCCTCTCTTTGCTGTTGTTCAATTGTACTGGCTTTACTGGTGTCATCTGTGATCCAAGGTCCCTTTGAAGGCCCAACTTTACAACATGTTGGGAGGGTTATTTAAGTGAAAAGGAGATAATACAGTCCGTAAATCATTGTAACCGAGTGCCTGTAAACTTCAGTGCATTGCTGTGAGCTGGAAGAGAGGAAATTCTCAAAGGCACCATTGTCAGCTGCTCCAGGTCGTGGAGCCACCTCTCATCCCCCAGCTCCCCGGGCTTCCCCTTGGATAACGTGGCTGTCCATTGTTGAGGTGATGGTACTAATGTCAGCCTCATTGCAGGCACCTCGTTTTATTGTGCTTTGCAGCTACTGCGTTTTTTTTTTTTTGCTGGTTTTTTTTGTTTTTGTTTTTACAAATTGAAGGCTTGCGGCAGCCTTGGGTCGAGCAAGTCTATGGGTGCCATTTCTCCAACAGCATTTGCTCACTTCATGTCTCTGTGCCACGTTTTGGTAATTCCCACAATATTTCAAGCCTTTTCTTTATTATGTTTGTTATGAGCATCGGCGAGCAGTGATTATGACTCACTGAAGGCTCACATGACGGTTAGCACTTTTTAGTGATAAAGTATTTTTTAATTAAGGTATGTACATTGTATTTTTTTAGGCATAACGCTATTGCACACATAGTAGACTACAGTACGGTTTAAACATAACTTTAAGGGGCGCCTGGGTGGCTCAGTCGGTAAAGCGTCCGACTTCAGCTCAGGTCACGATCTCGCGGTCCATGAGTTCGAGCCCCGCATCAGGCTCTGTGCTGACAGCTCAGAGCCTGGAGCCTGCTTCAGATTCTGTGTCTCCCTCTCTCTCTGCCCCTCCCCTGCTCACACACTCTCTTTCTCTCTCAAAAATAAATAAACGTTAAAAAAATGAATATAACTTTTATACTCACTGGGAAACCAAAAAAATCACTTGACTCATTTTATTGTGATATTAGCTTTACTGCAGTGGTCTGGAACTGAACCCACAATGTCTCTGAGGTAAACCTGTGTTACAAAATCATGCCTGGGTAAAAATCCATTCAAACTGCAAGGCAGACCAATGGATTTTAATGTAACAGCCTACTAAAAGTTTATTGATATGGTTTCAGGTTCTGCATTGCAACTAACCTAAAAAGTCGACCACAATGATCTGGAAAGACTACTGAAATATTTCTCCTTTTCCAATTACAAGTCTATACGAAATCAGATTATCTTCAAATATTTCTACCAAATAACATATCACAACACATTAAATGCCAAAGCAGATATAAGAATCTGGTTGTCTTCTATTAGGCCAGACCTTAAGGAGATTTGTAAAAATTAAATTTGTGTAAAATACAATTTTTTGGTGTTTTTTAAAAATACAGTTATTTTCATAAAATCGTTTATGGTAATATGCAATGGGTTATTGTTGTTATCTTTTTTTTTTTAATTTTTTTTTAACGTTTATTTATTTTTTTGGGACAGAGAGAGACAGAGCATGAAAGGGGGAGGGGCAGAGAGAGAGGGAGACACAGAATCAGAAACAGGGTCCAGGCTCTGAGCCATCAGCCCAGAGCCGGACGCGGGGCTCGAACTCACGGACCGCGAGATCGTGACCTGGCTGAAGTCGGACGCTTAACCGACTGCGCCACCCAGGCGCCCCTATTGTTGTTATCTTAAAGGCAATTAATACATATTTTAAGATTCACAAATTAAATTCTAATATGGTGTCAATAGATATAACTTTCATAAGGGAAAGCTCTTAGAAATCCTCGATGATAATGAAAACACGAAAAAAAATGAATAAAATGAATGTACCATGGTAACATCAACAATATGAATAAATTTTATTAACATAATAAGGAGTAAAAACAAGTTTTGCCAACACTAGTATTACGTCTGCTTAAAAAATTCAAGCCATAATGTCAGCATCATGGCCGAATAAGATGTCCCTCATCTGTGTCCTCCCCTCCTGCCCCCAACAACAACAGTTTGGCATCCATCCATGGACAAAAAGTGCCTTTGTGGACCCTGTGGAATCCAGCACCATACACCCAGGGACCTGGGAGGAGTCTCACCCACCCGTGCATTGGGTAATAGACAGACACACCTCGGTCTCAGCTGTGGACCCTGCAAGGGGCCACAAACTGGCTACAGCCCCTCTCGGTCACGACCTGGAAGCCCCTGGAAAACTGTCTTAGACAATCCCCCACAGATGGAAGTCCAGGGTTCTAGTACGCTGTTAGAGCAAACAGAAATATGAGTTTGGATGCATCGTAGAGGGAAGAGAGACAGTTTGACTTTACTTGCACACACACACACACACACACACACACACACACCCGCCTCAAGGTGACGACTTAGGGCCAAGAGAGAGCTTCTCAGCTCTCTTGGGGAAAAGAGAGCATGTGAATGAGCACCTGGCTTCCCCAGCTGTGTGGGATGCTCCCAAAGAAGCTCATCTCTCTCTCACTGCATCCAGCATACTGAATCATGAGCTGCGTG